ATATATATATATATATATATATATATATATATATATATATATATATATATATATATATATATATATATATATATATATATATATATATATATATATATATATATATATATATATATATATATATATATATAGTATATTGATTTTCTCTATCCTAGGATGCTGAGGGGCCTTCTCTGTAACCCCAGAATATTTGTAGATAAAGTTTGTTAATATACCCTTCGGGAAAGTATACATAATTTTAGCAGACCAACCTGTTCCCAAGAGTAAATGGCACTCATCTCAGCAGGTTTCTTGTCAAGAAATCGAACATCACAAACGCCAGGCTTGTTTTCTAACAATTAAACAATACATTTACTTAACTCATTTAAAGGCTCTTTTCCACTCATCGCAAAAACCAACTCGCAAGCATGCTGTGAGTCAGCACTCTAAGAATTTGTGAGTTCAGGCTCTTACGATGAATGGAAGAGGCTTCATGTTCCAGCGTTTTCTCCTTGACAAGTAAAACTGTCTGGGTAGTGGGTTTAGACAGAGTAAAATAATACAGTAAGGCACATTGCAGATCTAAATGGATTGCCTGGCATTAGACAGAGTAAATAACAAAGTAGGGTACAGCATTTGGAAGCAGTATGCCCCTTTTCTTCAAAAATATCAGGTAATGCACTAATACTGACTTTAGTAACTGGTTTCATTACTTTTATACCAACAAGGCGGACGTTTTCATAAATTTTATCCGTGTTTTTCAGCGAGGCATCATGAAAATGTCACCCTTGATGATTTAGCAAGATCTCATGCATTGATATGTTCCTATGAAACTGCAAAATGTGTACCTAATGTTTTGACAACACCAAGTGTCATTCTATCCAACAAATCTCCCACTTCTCTACTGTGGTTTAGGGATGCCATTGCGATGTTTTAAACTAAAATCACGCTTACATAGAACACCTTTGCGAGTCTAGTTTCAAAAAACAATGTATTCGTATCAAAAAGACCATTTTATTGAGTGATGTTGCCCAACATATCGCTTGAAATTATTAAAATTTTAGTTGCCAAGTTTTTGTTTTGACTTTTGAATATTTTGTTGTTTACTGTTTCCACTTCACCACATGTTAATTTCTTTTATATTTAAACATTCCCTTTGTCATATCTGCATTTAAAAATTAAAACTGTTTCAATTCAATTGAATTCCAGTTTTCTTTATATTTAGTTCTAGTTTTCTTATTTATTCCTATTTTTTTATCAAAGTTTATCAAAAAACATCAGTCATACAGTAATACTTGCTTTTTTCTAGATATTTTTTTAGAAAAATTCTAGAAATTAATATTTCAAAAAATGGAAGCTTGCTCAAATTCTCCGAGGAAAAATGGCGCGAAAATTACTAATTTGCTGTATTCATTCCACTGATCTCATTTCCTGTAACAAAACAAAGTTGAATGCCGAATATTTCAAAAAATAATCACTGAAAATCTCGTAAAAATGGCACAGAACGATGGCAACAATAATAGTAATGTAAATACCAAAAATGTTGATGAATCGCTGCTGTCTTTGAAAGGGTAAGATGGGTTGAATTGAACCGAACATTTTACACTGGACCATATATATTTTGGAAATTCCATGATAAATCTATTTTATGTATCAATTTTTCCAAACCAGACAACCGACCTTGCTAAGTTTGCTAAGTGCTGATAGCTGATATCAATACATCCTGAGCCATTGGCTCAAGTAAGAGTAAGGGCGACCTTCGCCAGCCAATTACTAGGGACGGGCAAGATACTGTTTTGCCACTGATACCAGATGGTGTCATAGTCTACCGAATACCAGTCAGGGAAAAATGATAACCGGATACCAGATAATAACTGGGTACTAATGGTGGCACTTTGACAATACATCATGAAAACATTCATGTATGCAGTAGTTGTTACTAGTGATGGGCGATACCAGCTTTTTTGGTTTCGATACGATACCAGTCCGATACCATGAATTTTGGTCGATACCGATACCAAAATCGATACCGATACTCAATTTTTTCCATTATTAAAATAACTTTTAAAACAAGAACATTAGGGAGCATTCATTTTTTAGCTGGGGGGGTGGAGGAGGAACTGATGTCTAATTCCATGCGAAAACTTGGAACCCCCAAGACAAAAGTTGATAAAAAATTATGACTCCCTATTTTTTTTACTGAAAATTTTTTGACCCCTCATCCTAACTATTAATCCACACGGTGTCGTTTCCATAGCGTTTCAGGGCCGTAGGAAGCTCTTTTTGATTGGGGGAGGGGCTGAAATTGAGGGCCGAAGGCCCGAGGAAATGTTTAAATCTGGAGTCTCTGAAATGCCATTTCCTGGCCTTTGGGGGAAGATTTCACAGAATTCTGATGGTCAGAAAACAGCGTTTTAGTATATCAAAATTGACAATTTGGTAGTACTAAATGGGCGAAGCATATTTAATTTACTATATGTTGGATAACTAGGATAAGTTGCAGGAAACTGTGGGTACTATCTTCATTCTTTGCAGTTTGTCATGGATAATGTAGCCGCTTAAAATTAATAAAGCTTAAAATTGATCAAGTTCTGCATGATTTTGAAGTCATGCAGACCTTGAAATCATGCATGATTTTGAAATCATGCTACGGTCCTGCGTTTTCTTTCATTGATGTTTTCACACAAAAACGGATAAAAACGAGGTCAATTGACAAACGTCATGGAAATGTTTTCCTATGGACTGTGTGAACAGAGCGTCAAATGAATTTTGCTTCATTGTTATAGATGACGAGATAGTTGATAGATTCTAGACGTTTTTACCATTCTTGATCCAAATATTTCCAAATTCAATAAAATCATATTGGTGATTTTTTCACTGATTATTTTTATGACCCCCTCCATTTATAACAAAACTATAAAAAGACCCACCCCTTTGAAGCATGTCAAAATTGGCTGACCCACCCCCAAATTCCTCCGCCCCCCCCCCCAGCTAAAAAAATAATGCTCCCTTTATGTTTAAAACAAGTCAAAGAATACTCTAACTGGAGTACCTGCCAAATAATCGAACATAACATTTGCAATTATGATTTTAAATCCAAACACCAATGTTTTCCTAAAATATATTGCTAATTAGCTACATGTTTTTGTTTAATTTAAGAACAGCATCATGTCAACATTTTTTGCCTTCAAGGGTTTTCAGTCTGTTGCCTTCATGAAGTATTTAGCGATTGTTCAGCAATACTGACCAAAAACATCGCAGGCTCAAGTGGTATCGAATTACCGATACTTTTTGCGAGTATCGAAAGTATCGATACTTTTGTAAGTATCGATGATTTCGATACTTTTTCGATAGTATCGCCCATCACTAGTTGTTACTGTTTCACAATTTCCTAACACACAAAAAAGACAAAGGAAACATTTTTTCGGTTTCATGCATGGTTCTAATCAAAGTTCCATGAGTATTGTCCGGTATATATCTGGCCAAATTTTTCCAGATGTCTATTTTTAACCAGATACCATCATCTGGCACATCCCTACCAATTACATGGCGGACTTGAAACCCAGTGGTAGGGAAAGCTTTACAGTACTGGTAATACACTAAGCAATCACTGTGGAAGCAAAAATCCATGCTACAGTAGCATTGAGCGTTGCTTTATCATACTATAAATACACGCTTCCGGAAAGTATGTCACCTTGGCTATACAGTAGAGCCTCGTATTCATGATTAGACATCAGGCTTAGCTTTAACCACGACTAATGTCACATACACAAAAACTTGTCTCTATAGCCAAAGTGACATACTTTCTGGAAGGGTGTACAACACCTACAGTATGTGCCAGTGTAAGTATGGTATCAATAATAACAAGCTTTCATTGGTAGGAGTGCAACTACTGTACCTGAAAAATGCAAGCCAAAATTCAATGAGCACTTCGAGCGAAGGCCCTGTTCTTCTACTGATTTCCAGACAAAGGGTCTTCGCTCGAAACATCGAATTTTGCATTGTATTTTTAAGGTACTAGAATCCCTACCAACAAAAACTTTGTATTACACCTAACTGACATGATTCATACGCAGGTGTAAAGAGTGGCTTGAACAACAGAAGTTAGATTATGAAGCTGAACTTAACAGCAGTAAGTCATGCACCGAACAAATTCCTAGCTTGCTTGTCTGGCATTAGACATGAGAGTATCATACCACAGGAACATACATTGGTGCTCATTGTAGCCTACTATCCTAGGATCTGGTGAACGCCTTATTCCAGAAGGCATTTTAAGCCTCAAGGGATACATGAGTGGTATATAACCCTTTAAGTGGCATTGCATCCTACTTTGTTATTTTATTCTGTCTAATGCCAGATTATTTTATGTGTCCTCGCCCGGGCATAGCCACAGGAGTAATGGGGGTGTCCGAACTCCCCCCCCCCCCCACTTGCTCATCAAGGGAAGGTGTTGGCATTCATGAGTTAAATAACTTGTTTCAACTAATCAATAAAATATTTTAATGAAAATTTAAAGTGAGAAAAGTGGAACAGGATGAGCTTGAAGGCCACAGAGAACCAAATATGGAAGAATTATGTGAAAGGTTTTTTTATTTAATTGGGTTTACAAGTTTATTTCAGTCTATGGCGTAGATTTTTTACATCTTAAGCATGGCATACACAAAGACGACACATTTTATATTTTGCAGTATATTACAACTTCAAGAACAGTTGCTAGAAGTTTCATCAAACCACTCAACCAAACAATACATTCTGGAAAGGTACTGTAATTTGGTTTACTAACATCGTATATGTACAGTAATTCAATGGTAACTTCTGACCTGTACAAGTACTGTATTCATTATTCTGGTATCCCTCCCTGAAATCCAGTATCCCTGACATGCATATGCATAGTGACATGAAATCGTGCAAATTGTCAATCCTACTATCAGCTTGACAACCTTAATTATTACATCTTGTTTGCAGATTAACCAACTCGGTCTCACTCTGATACATTGTGTTACAGGTTGCTTTCAAGTTATGTGAAAATGAAAATGTTGTTTTCTACGACAGACCCAGAAACTGGAGCAAGTGTACCGAACGAAGAGTATGTGTCATACAATACGGGCTTCAGATACTAAGACATAAGTATC